AGCTCTTCCCCTGGGCGTTCGATTAGGAGCCGCCACTGACGAGTGTGTCACCGGAACATTCCACGGCCCTACGATACATGGTAGGATATTGCCTTCCATCATTGCCTCCCACTATTGTCTTCCATCATTGGATTGTATACTGAATGCCGCCATCAGCTGTATTGTTATTAGTATTTTATGATGTAGTTAATGTTTCTAAAGTATCCAAATTATTATTTCTCCAGATTTGGAGATTACCCAAATTAGGCAGATCTTGTATCTGTTCATTATAGAATACTGACGTCATCAGTGACAAACCTGGACTAAAGCTACCCTTTAACTTATACCAAACTGCCAATACTGAACAGATAATAGGATTCTCCCAAATCAATTTTCTATTATCATACCGAATTAGATCTTCCAATTTTAAACCATCTTTAAGAAAAGTTTCCAAAATATGAGGTACTCCATTTAACTCCTGATCTTATTAGAGTTTTCATAGCCACCCCTAGATGTTTTCCTAACCAAATGAATTATTTAAATACTTGTTCCCAGGCCTTAAAGGTACACGTTTTCATAGACAATGTTACATTAATATATACAAACAGGATTCTGGATAAAATATTCATTTTCAGTGTTGCCAGTCTACCAAACCACAAAAGAGAGAGAGATGGATCTAATTTTATGATGTCTATTATTCGTGTTTTACTGTATTTAATTTCTCAATGTAAGCAGCCCTGAGCTGAACCTACCTGGCGGGGAGGGCGGGATATAAATTGAATTAAATAAATAAATAAATAGAAATAAATACATTATGTAAAAATGCTAGCTCGTTTTTGATTTCCTTAAATAATTTTTGGTGGTAATATTCCACGATAGAATCAAGATCTTGTTTTATCCAAATTCCTACATGCTTAATTGGATGCACTGCCCATGGAATGGAGCAGATCTTAGCAGTATCATTATTTTGTATTAAAGACACATTTAAGCCCCCTCCCCCATTTTTATTGTAGTTGATGCAGAATGTAGTTAACAAATTCTTGTCCCCTTTCCTTTTTATCAACTGCAGTCGGTGGGTTAGTCGAAGTGCCACCGCACAGCGCAGGAAAGATCGCCTTCGCCAGCATTCAGAGCATATTGGTTTGGACAACGAGTTAAGAGAGGTGAGTGGCTTTGTAGTTTTGCAAGCAATTCCAAGGCTCTGTATTCAAGTTAGTGAAATCATAGGCTGCTAGACCTGGTAATTTTTAGAGGGTGGAACATTTCCAGGCACCTCTTGAATAGCTTAACACTGTATGAAACGTAAAATACATGTATTATTTTCCCAGATGTACTGAGCCTTAACCGTGAACTGTTACGATTATTACTATAATTGAAAACGACTAAACTTAGATGTTGTTGCAAGCTACAATCAAAAGGGTGGGAGGGGGAGGATGGAGGAGGTAAACCTGACATCTTGCTGGTTGCCTCTTTAAATTCCTTTTATGTGCATTTAAGACATTGCTATGAATCTCTTAAGACTGCTATGCCTAGCCACGGAGGAATCTTCTACGTTGCTGAGTAGCCTCACCTCGCTGTCCTGTGTTTCCTCTTGGTCTACCTGCAAAAAGAGGCGTTGTTGTGCCTTTGCTTGTATATGCACTATGTACTAACAGCAGGTCCTTCCAAAAAGAAGCAAAAGATGTGACTCCGTAGGGGCTTACAGCCCAGCTGGTAGAGCTCTTTGACCCACCAGATGGTCCTGACCCAGGAGCTGAAGGCCATTACGCCATTTTGATTATGTATTACCTTCAGCTTTGAAAAGGGCATTCCCATGTTGAGTTCTCTTCCCTCCTGCGTAATATGTTTGTACACTTAGACCATGTGACAGCATATTTTGTATATCCCCTGTCCTATTCTCTATCATTGGCGGCTGATGGTGGAAGCACCCAGTGGGAGAATATCATGACACAAGTCAAAATGTCCCACAAGTTAATACAGGAGAAGTAACAGCTCACTGTTTCAAGTGAGGAATGGTTCTGCCACCCAAAGCCATAAATCACAGTTCCTGTACAGTTGCTTACCAAGTATATTGTTCTGGGTTTTTTTTTTACTCTTAAGTGCTTGGGTTTCAGTCAGGCTAGGTGCATATCTTACTGCTTGGCTTCCCGCCCACTCTGGAAGGGAGGTGTTAAGTTTGGAGAATCCTCCATGTCCTGTTCCAACATTGTCTGGTCTGTGCCTTTTTCTGTTTTTCTCTCTTCTTCCTTTCTTTATTAAAAACAAATCAGCCTTTAAAAAATATTATTACACTCATCTTGTTTACTTTTTACTTTTTGTTTCCTAAATCAAAACATTCTGATTCCTTGGTGTCATTGCTGATTTCCAGGATTCATGCTAACCTGCAATTTGGTGTTGTTGTTTTTTACTGTATTTTTATGTGCAAGTAAGAGAGTTATTTTATGGAAAGGAAGCAAAACAGTATTTAGGACAGTTCTATTTATTTGTGGGATGGCTGGAAACATGTCATGTTCTGTTATTTTTTCTTTCTGTTTTGCTTTGACCCGTATGCACGCCTGTTTTGCCTTGCTGTTCTCTCTTCGCCATCTGTTATGTCTGCCTCCTCTTAGCTGTCGGAGGAGTTCTTGATTCATCAGAACTCAATGGCATTCTGGGAGTGGGATCAGGGCCCACCCCCGCCTGCACGACCACCCAAAAAATCATTCTCTGAATGTTCCCTGGTATGTTTTCTTTTATTTTGCCAAGAGCTGCTTTCCCTACCACACCAGTCACTGCTTTGCGGTAGAATTTTATGCACGGTTTTTGGGATTTTTTGTAGCAGTTTGAAGCGTGGCCACAATCAGGCGAGTGGTTCTGACATCCACAGATGGGCACCTTGCTTGTATCTTTACAGGCTGAGGCTTGAAAGAGGCATTCAGATTAAGTCTTCCTTCCCCTGGAATGCCGTCAGGCCAACCTAAAACCTTCCAAATGAAGGGGCGTTCAGGAAGATGGAAGCCATTGGGGCTTGCAAGGCGGTGGTCCTTTTTAGACCTTCAAAGCCCATTTGTTTCCCAAAGACCACGCTTATGACAAATGTAAAATTCTGGTTTAGCTGGTAGTGACGGTCATAACTTATAACACCTATTTGAGAAAATTACAAAATTAGTATGCCGAATCTGTAGGGAACTTTCGCTTGTCAGATTAGAACCACACTTTGAATAACTGTCACCCATCCTTTTCCTTACTCATTTTCTCCCTCTAGTTTGCAGTCTTTAGGGTTGCCAACTCCAGATTGAATAATTCATGGAGATACGGGGGTGGAGCCTTGGGAGGGTAGAATCCGGGGAGGGGCCTCAGCAGGGTATAACTACCACAGAGTCCACCTTCCAAAGTGGCCATTTTCTCCAGGGGAACTGATCTCTGTCATCTTGGAGATCTGATGTAATGCCAGGAGACCTCCAGGCCCCATCTGGAGTTTGGCAACCCTAACTGTCTTTCTCTCCATTGCCCTTTTTCCACACTTGTTGCTGTCTGGTAGTTTCTGTCATTGCCTTGTTATTTTTGAAACAAAGATACGAACTGGCCTTTTTTCAGTACCTAGCTTGGTGTTGTGGGTTTCTGTCCCAAAGCTGGGGGTGAATGAATTTTTTTATTGCTCTATTCTCCATTCCTGCGGAGTTGCTGCAGGGAACAAGAAAAGCAGGAAGCTCTTTTCCTTGCCTCTTTTTCATGCTGGAAGTCTCCCGCAGCCCCCCCCCCCCGGGTTTTAGCCCTGCTGAAGAAAATGTGTGGGTATCATAGAAGCATAGAGTTGGAAGGGACCTCCAGAGTCATGTAGTCCAATTCCCTGCACAATGCAGGAAATTCACAAATACCTCTTCCACACATACACACACCCAGTGACCCCTGCTCTATGCGATGGCAAAAAACCTCCAGGATGCCAACCAAACTGACCTGGAGAAAAATTGCTTCCTGACCCCAAAGTGGCGATCAGCATTTCCCTGGGCGTGTAAGAAAGGGCCGTTAGAACTAAGCAGGGGTCATTTCCTGCGGGAGCGCATAGGAGCGGAGCTTCGGCAGTAAGGAGCCAGGGGGCGCGCACGTGCAACAAACCCTGCCCCCTGCTCCCAGCAGCCCTCAGTCAGGCCACGAGGATCAAGAAGCAGCCAGGTAAGGTGCCCCCTCCCCCCAGCCCACCAGGTACAAGCTCTCCCTCCTCTGTGAGGGCAGATCTGTGCGTCCCCCCCCCCACAATAGCTAGCAATCCAAAACAGTCTAGTGGAGCCTGAGTGGTGGGTGTTGCCTTCTGACACACTTCCGGTAATGTCAGGGGGTGTGGCATATGCAAATAAGTTATGCTAATAAGTGATCCTAATGAGCTCCTGAACCTCTTTTTCTACGAAATGATCCCTGGAACTAAGCATTGAGGCAACCCTCCCTGCCCTCCCTCTCATGATCTGCCTAAGTTCACAGAATCCGCATTGCTGTCAGATGGCCACCTAGCCTCCGTTTGAAAACCTCCCAAGGAGCCCTGTTCCACTGAGGAACCACTCTAACTGTCAGGAAGTTCTTCCTGATGTTTAGCCGAAAACTCTTCTGATTTAATTTCAACTTGTTGGTTCTGGACCGACCTTCTGGGACAGCAGGAAACAACTCCTCTAGATGACAGCCCTTCAAGTACTTGAAGATGGTGATCATATCACCTCTCAGTCGTCTCGCTCTCCGGGCTCAACATACCCAGCTCCTTCAACCTTTCCTCATAGGACGTGGTCTCTCTGTTCTCAAAGGGGCTGATTATCTGCAGGGAAATGAGTGAAGGGGAAGGGTTAACTTAAAATAACCCCTCCTATGCTGGTCTTCCTCTACAAAAGCCCCTCTAGCAGCATTGTAGAGAAAGAGATCATAGAACTATATAATATGCAGTTCTTTCCCTCAGACTAAGCGCATACAGGTGACTCTCTAGGCCCCTAGTGGTTACACGGTTGATTTGCAAATGGCTAGGCCTGGTGACAAGTCTTACACCACTGTATTTTTTTAAAATAAATGGTTGCCATTTAAATATATCTATATATATAGCAGTAAGTCTTGGACATCTTCAGTCATGAAGTGAAATAGATCCCCTATTTTTCCCCCTTCCCTGGTCGATCATACTTTTACCACTGGAGTAGGGGGCAGTTTTGGATTTTCATCTTGAGGCAGAGGTCATTTCAGGGGGGGATTGCGGGGGATCGCAGTTCCCCCGGGTGAAGTGTGGGGGGCAGGGCACACGACGAAGCCCCGCCCCCCGCTTCCGGCCGCCCTGCTTCCAACCCTCATTCAGCCAGGAGGAGAAGGGGGGGGGTAAGTTGCTTCCTCCCTGCCTCTCCCCACCCCTGCCTGCCTGGGGCCAGGGAGGGCCTTCGCGGGGCTTCCTTGCACTCTCGCCGGCCGGGACCGTTGGGGGCGGGGTGTGTGGCCTTATGACACACTTCCGGTGATGTCAGGGGGTGTGGCATATGCTAATGAGTTATGCTAATGAGTTCCCCTAGCTCTTTTTCTACGAAACGACCCCTGTCTTGAGGCAATAACATGTCTTGGGTTTGTCTCTGCTGCTGGGATGATCATGCTTTCTTTAGAGGGGAAAAAGCCAACCACTGGCCCTCTGAAGCACCCTGCCTGTTTGTGTATGTTGAAATGCAATCACAAGCCACCTAGTTAAGACTTTTTACAGGCAACTGTTGATCCTCAACAGAAAAACTGGCAGCTATATTCTCCCCCCCCTCCCTTTGCTTACTTCCTAAAACTTTAAACAAATCACTGGGGTGGCCAGACTTTATGCTTTAGTGTGGTGTGAATTTGTCACCTCGTCTTATCAGACTGGGGAGAAGCGGGGAAGGCAAGAAGTACTTTCCCTGCTTTTGTATTGACCTTAGGGTTTTTGTGTTGTTTTGTTCATTGGATTAGAAGTACATGCAAGAAGCAAGGACCTTGGGGAAAAATTTGAGGCAGCCCAAACTCTCAGATCTTTCTCCAGCAGTAATTGCTCAGACAAACTGGAAATTTGTAGAGGGCTTGCTCAAAGAATGTCGAATGAAGGTAAGTTTGCTTTGTCCCCCACCCACCCCCTTATGGGCTTCACAGATTAACTGATCGTGTTGTTAACTCTGGTTCTCAAACTAACTGAAATGGGACCCACCTCTAAACAGACTGCAGTTCTTGGGGTCCACTTGCAGAACAATCGGGTGCACTGTTTTCTCCTCCCTTGCCATAAAGTGCAGGAATCTCAACTTAGTTGACAATGAACAAATGTATAATTTATTTTCCTTGTTCAGTGTTCTATAGTATTGCTGAACAGCAGGCCATTTTTCATGGCACTTCAAAGGCAAACTCAGTTTTGCCATCAGGTCTTCCAGAGCCTCTTCCTGACAGGGTGACTAGTGTTCCCTCTAAGCTGAGTTAGTGTGAGCTAGCTCACAGTTTTTTAGCCTCTGGCTCACACATTTTTGTCTTAGCTCAAGAAGGGTGGCTCCAGAGCAAACTAATTTATGCGGTGGCCAAATTGCCTGCTTACAACTTTAATGCCAGTAGCTCACAAAGTAGAAATTCTGCTCACAAGACTCCACAGCTTAGCAGGAGCATTGATTGTGACTCACCTCTGTAAGAGTCACAACCTACTTTTTGGTCCCGGCCCCACTGGCTGTTTAGAGTTCATGTCTCTCAAAGGAAGTGATTTGGTGATGAAGACCAGTGATTCCCTGTCCCTGTTCTTGATATAGACCATATGTGATGATACCTCAAAGAGTGTGGATGCTTTTGGTCAACTCACCTAAGCATGTACTGGTCCCGCTCTGAAACACTATTATTCATTCACCTTACACAAGAATGCGAGTTCATATGGCCAAGTAAGCTAAATTAAGGATCTGGAAGTACTCTTGCCCAGTTATGTAAATTGACGAGCAGTTTCCTTCTCTTTCGGTTGATAATCTCTTTCGGTTGATAATCTAAATTAAGGATCTGGAAGTACTCTTGCCCAGTTATGTAAATTGACGAGCAGTTTCCTTCTCTTTCGGTTGATAATCTGTAAATCCTTGCAGACGAAGCGTATGCTGGTAGAAAAGATGGGTCATGAGGCAGTGGAGCTTGGGCACGGAGAGGCCAACATAACAGGTTTGGAAGAGAATACGCTGATCGCAAGCCTTTGCGACTTGCTGGAAAGAATCTGGAGCCACGGACTACTGGTTAAACAGGTCAGTGAAACTAAAAACGTACAGATCCTCAACAGTAATAAAACCTTGTGTCCCCCTCATTCAAGGTAGCTTCTGCCTCACCTTGAGCATGTGAAGCTGCCCTGGTGCTGAGTCAGATCATCAGTCCACCTAGTCAGTCTGTCGTCTACCTGGCCTGTAATGGGTCTTGAAAGCCTCAGGTGGTGGCCTTTCCCAGCCTATTTACATCAGATGCTGGAGACTGAATTTGGTATCAAATGCATACAAATCACGTACTCCACTGCTGAGCGTTCAGGATACACATATGACTCCTCAGTCTGTCATTCTCTTGCCGCTCCTCAAATATAAATGAATCAAACAGGGATCCTTTTAGCACACTCTACCCACAAAAGGAGGAGTTTAAAAAGTAAGTAATCTGTTGCATCAGTCCCCTCTGCATTGACCTTTTTATATTCTGGGGCTTGGCAGCTGTGCCTTTTAATATAGAAGCTTTCTAGGACAAGCTATCTACAGTGGGGCTAAATCAGGAAGCACTGGGGGGGGGTTACTTTTCTGAACTGGCAGACACCTCCACTCTCCTACAGATGCATACAAAGCAATTGACCTCCTGCCTATTAGCAGAGAAACCTCTTGGCTCTCTCTCTGTCACCATTTATGGTCAGCTCTGGAGTTCCTGGTTTTATGGCTTAAATGAAGGCTTCATTTTAAAACCTGGAATGAGCCAAACTGGTGGGCCCGGCCCTAATGGAAAGGATGGCGACTTAGGATTCTCATGGGAGACAGGAAAACATTAGAGCCAGTTGATAACATTCATACTCTGAAAGACACTTCTGTGTTAAAGGCCTGTAATATTTGCTCATCACTGACCCCCATATCACGTGCGTCAGTTCACGCACTGGGAAGCCAGAATAGGCCATCACAGAACATAATTGTCTCAGACAGCTATTTCTGTGGCAGAGGAGGGATCTGAACCTTGGGACTCCCCCACCCTAGGCTGGAACTCGAACCACGACACCATGCTGGCTGTCATTATGCTGTGACATTAGTTTCAGTGATGATTGTTTACACAAAGGTTTTCTGTCCCTAGAGCCCAGATGTGTTAGGATTTCATGGCCTGTGCAGATCCACAAGGCGGAAAGTTACTAAGCATAGTATGGCTTTCATAGTTCAGCTCCAGCTAGTTTCCCCTGCTGTGTGCAGAGGATTTAATAAGTGCCAACTTAGCATAGTTGTAAAGTATATGTATGTAATATAGAACTTTTCTCGGTTCAGACCGTAGCTTAGATGTGAAATTCATTGGAGGCCTTGGGCAATTCCCTTTCGCTTAGCCTTACTGGCTGTCTAAGATGCTAAAATGCTGAGTTTTGCTTCTGGGAAGATGCCTGGAATATAAATGTAGCAATAAGCATGTCTTCCGAGGTGCTCCTGTGCTCTTGATTATGCAATGAAGAGAGCTGCTTTCTCAATCTGACTTTCAAATCAGGGTCCAGTTTGCAGGCTTTTTTTTTTTGTTTTCTTTTCCTCCTCCGGTCTGAGCCGCATGCAGCACTTGGGAGAATGGAATTCAGTGTTCAGCTTCTCCTTTGCATCTCTTGCAAGTGTGTTCTACTTAAGTTAACTTTGGGTTTTTCTTCTTCCTAAGGGAAAATCTGCATTGTGGTCTCATTTAATTCAGTACCAGGAAAGAGAAGAGAAGCAGGAGCATCTTGCAGAGTCCCCTGGTGAGCAGAGAACACTTTTGATCAAATGAATCATGTGCAGCAAGTGTGTGAGTACGGTAGGACTAAGTCTCTACAACAGTATGCCGTGAAATCGGCTCCCAAATTGAAAGTAATCTTCTGTTATATAAAATTAATAAATATTTATTTATAAACCTCTTTGGTTCCCTTAAACATCCAACTTCTCAAGTTCAACAACTCAACAAAGGGCTTTTCAGCATTCTTATTAATTAATTAATTAATTTATTATTAATCTCATTTGTACCCCGCCCTCCCGGCAATGCTTTCCTTTCTTGTGAGTTTCTGTTTGGGGGTGTGTGTCCTTTTCAGTATGTGCTTGGCCCCCTCTAGTGGTTGATTCAATATTGCCATGATTTATGTCCAGCCTATCTCCCTGCAGATTTAAACTGCAGGTTTTTATGTGAAACACGAAAAAAAATCTCAAAGAAACAGGAACTGACAAGTGAGGAGAATGAGAATGTGGAAAAGCCCAAAGAGCTGGGGGTTCTTTTTGGATGGGGAAGAAAGCAAAGGCTAGACAGGGAGGTGGAACAGAGCTTCCTTCACTCCCTGCCTATAGTGAAATTTCATTGGCCATATTAAGATAGGAGCATATAAATATTTTATTTATAAGATTTTTATCCCACCTTTCTTGCATTTCAGTGCCCCTGGGGGCACCTAAAGTCAAATTTAAAACTAAGCATTAAAAATCCAACTTAAAAAAAAAAAAGAAAACAGGAAAACCAATCAACCCAAATACCACTACCAGAATTCCACTGACCGTAAGAAGTTGCAATTGGCAAAGACTTGAGTAAGAAAGCAGTTAACAGACTTTCTTCCAAGGAGCTCAGGGCAGCATACTTAATTCTGCTATCTTCCATTTTATCCTTGCAACAATCCTGTGAAGTAGGTCACCCAGTGAGGTAGGTCAGTCTGAGAGAGAGAGAGAGATTGAGTGAGTGACTGGTCCAAAGACACCCAATGAACATTAAAGCTGAGTAGGGATTTGAACCCAGATCTCCCTGGTCCTAGTCCAACATTCAAACTGTAGTACCACATTCAGCTCCCAAAATTTGCACAAGCAAAAAGGGCCATATCTCCACTACCCAATCCTAAAGGTGCCCATGGCCATGGTCTTGACAAAATGATCTTAGAACATCTGCAAGATCATATAGCAGTGAGCAGTTCTTTGGGATAATTTTTTTCCTGCTGTCAAGTCGCAGCCAGTTTATGGTGACCCCATAGAGTTTTCAAGACAAGAGATGTCCAGAGGTCATCTGCCGTTGCCTGCCACTGCATCACAACCCCCGGTGTTCCTTGGTGGTCTCATAAATGAGTCAGAGATTTGTGCTCCCACCCATAGTGGAAAATATGACAAATGGGCGCAGATTATAATTGAAAATAAGGAACATTTAGCACTTAGTATGCTGGTAATTTACCATTTTATCAAACTCTCCTTGGGTTTTGAATGCACGTTAGTATTTCAGTCATGGAACAGACTTATGGAACAGACTTAAGTAGCTCATACAGTTGCAAAGAGGGCAGCGTTTGATGATTCCTCTTAAATCTTGAGAGTACAGCTCTGGATTAACTACAGGGGAAAGGAAACACGAAGCAGCCATAATGGAGGAGCAGAGAGCAGAAAATTCTTTGCATGATATCCTTCTTCTCCTGGTGGGGTCCTCAAAGAGATTTAGAATCATATCTGCAGCTTTCTCTATAGATAACGTGTTTCTAACCCACTAATGTATTTTTTGTCTTCCTTTGCAGTTGCCATTGGGCCAGAAAGAAGGAAGTCTGACACAGGGCTTATGTTACCTACTCTGAGAGTCTCGCTTATCAGTGATATGAGGTATAAGACTTAATTTAGAAAACTCTGGCTTAATTTTCCCCCATATGTACATACATGCTGTCAAGTTGCAACCAACTTATGCCGACCCCTGCAAGGGGCTTTCAGGACAAGTGGTTTTCCATTGCCTTCCTCTGCAGAGTCTTCCTTGGTGGTCTTCCTTCCAAAAGATGACACTGCTCAGCTTCCGAGATCTGATGAGATTGGGCTATACTATTCTGCCTTCCCTCACTTTCCCCCATGCAACAATGTAAAAAGTTAATGCTAATACAAAATGATGATCATGAAATAAGTTTTGTTTGGGTTTTGTGCAAGACCTTTTTGTCTGATTTTTTTGTCCCATTCTTCTTCCACGGAGCTCAGCATGGTATAAATGGTCCCTATTTTTTTATTCTCATAACAACACTGTGAGGTAGGTTAGTTCTAGAGATGGTGAGTAGCCAACTCACCTTCATGGCAAAGTGGAGACTTGAACCTAGGCCTCACCGGTCAGTTTGGTGTAGTGGTTAAATGTGCAGACTCTAATCTGGGAGAACCGGGTTTGATTCCCCACTTCTCCACTTGCACCTGCTGGATGACCTTGGGCAAGCCATAGTTCTGGCACAGCTGTTCGTGAAAAAGAGCAGTTTGTGCCAGAGCTCTCTCAGTCCCACCTACCTCACAGGGTATCTGTTGTGGGGAGGGGAAAGGAAAGGAGTTTGTAAGCCGCTCTGAGACTCCTTTGGGTAGTGAAGGGTGGGGTATAAATCCAATCTCTTCTCTTCTTCTTCTTCATTGTCCAACATTTTAAATATTACACTACATTTCCTGAACATGACAGTAATTACGTGGGGGCGGGGGGAATTTGGGTGGGCAGTGGTGTGTGTGTGGGGGGAGTCTTCCTGAATTTCTCCGGTGATACACTTAATTGATTTCCCTTCCTACCCCAGCGTGAGGAGCAAGCCATTTACTGGGTCTAGTAAATTGATCTAAAAAACAACTTCCCTTTTCATGGGAGCTGAACAAAAGGAAAAGTAGAACAAAGTGAGTCCAGTGGCTTTTTTAAAACCAACAAAGTTTTATTGTGGGTATCAGTTTTTGTGTGCATGCACACTTCTTTGGATACATTGAAACGGAAGTCACCAACCATTACATAGAAGTAGAGGGTGGGGAGAGTGTTGTCAGGAAGGGCTAGAGTCAAGATGCATAAGTAACTGAGCAATAACTATAGCTAAGGCAGGATGAAGGCAATTGGTAAGACCGGTGAATAGCAGCAGATCAACATACAGCATAATAAAAAAGTTTACAAACAGATGCAAGAACTGAATGAGTTAGCATGTGTAGTGAGACAAGAAACCAGTTTCACTGTTAAGACCTGTGGGTTCCATTGTCCTGAGTGTTGTAATACCTTGTAATTCAGCAGTCTCCCTTTCTAGTCCATTTGTGAAGTTCCTTTGCAATGCAACAGCTACTATGAGGTGCCCCACTGAATGTCCTGGAAGGCTGAAATGTTCTCTCCAGGTTTCTCAGTTTGGGGATTCTTGATGTCAGATTTGTGTCCATTAATTCCTTGGCATAGGGTTTGGCCTTTTTGTTCTATGTAGAGAACTTCTGTTTCAGTGTATCTGAAAAAGTATGCATGTACACGAAAGCTTATACCCAGAATAAAACTTTGTTGGTCTTAAAGGTACCACTGCATTCAAACTTTGTTCTGCTGCTTCAGTCCAACACGACTACCCACCGGAATCTAAAAGGGAAAGTAGTTAGAGTAATTCAGATATATTCAATATATTTTTAATTCCAGTAGTCAAATTGCTTTATCTCTCAATATGGTTGAGTTTTCGTTTGCTCGATAGAAGGAGTGAAAAAATGAAAATACAGATGGCCATAATTTGTGCCTCCAAAATCTGAGTTTGTAGTAATTTTCACTTCTAAATAGATGTTTGTTTCTAATTGCTAACCCAGTAAAAATAGAAAGTTGACAAACTGTTATCAAGCAGGGCATTGTGAGTTAATTGCCCCCCATCACAAATTGTTGATGGCGAGATTATTGTTGTCAGATGCCTCTCTTGGCAAGTTGAGGGCGGGCTGAGGCAGAGATGAAGTGAGACAAACAGCATCTGTGGCTCGCAGAGCAGCAAAAAGACTCTTCCCAGTTGCCCAATGAGCGAAGGCCAGTGTGTCACCTGACCTGCTTTGGCCTATTAAAAGGTCATCTTGTCTTTCTGCTCTTTGAGTGGCAGCACACAGACAGTGAATCTTAGGGTTGCCAGCTCTGGGTTGGGAAATACCTGGAGATTTTGGGGGTGGAGCCTGGCAAGGACAGGGTTTGGGGAGGGGAGGGATTTCAATGGGGTCTAATGCCATAGAGTCCACCTTCCAAAGCAGCCATTTTCTCCAGGGGAACTGATCTCTGTTGCTTGGAGATCTGTTGCAGTCCCATGGAATCTCCAGCCACCACCTGTAGATTGGCAACCCTAGTGAAGCTCCATCTAAGGTCTGGGTTACCCGTGCAGGTGGGTGAAGTGTCAGAGTTCTGAGACAGTAGGATGGACTGATCCACGTCGAACCGCAGGCGAGGGATTCTGGATTTGAACATTCTTCATGCAAACACACCTTCTTGTATTATCTAACTATTTAGGGGGGGTTTTCACAACACCCCTTCAGCGCTCTGCTTGAGGCAGTTTACAGTTAAGACAAAACAAAGCCATTAAAAATGAAAGTATTCTCAATAAAACAGCTAGGGCATAGCAGCATAAGATGCACATTGAGCAGTCTAAAACGCTGCAGATGAAATGATCCTATAAAGGCCGTAAAGGGAGTATGTGTGTGTGTGTGTAGAATGTTTCTGTGCTGACTCTTCAGAATCCTGCTCGAGGCGACTTACAATTTAAAAAAGCCAAAGCATTTAAAGCACAAGCCATTAAAACTCTTAATGAAAAGCCAAAGTAAAAAAGAATGTTTTAACCTGGTGCCTAAAAGAAGTAAAGTAGATGTCAAATGTGTCTTATGGGGCAGGGCACTCCAAAGGTGAGGCATCAGGACTGAAAAAGCGCTGTCTCTGGTCTCTGCCTGCCTCGTGTCACCGCTCCATAGAGAGCAGGGGCTTAGAAGAGGGTCTTGATTGGCGAGCCGGACAATATGGGTGGAAGCCGTCCTTCCAAGTACTTCTCCTGACCCCAAGCCATTTGGGGTTTTAATTGTGCCTGGAAATGGACGGGCAGCCAGTACAGATCTTTCAGCACAGGGGTGGTTCCATCCCTGTAATCCAGGCCCTGACAATCGGCAGGCTACCGCATTATGGACCAAGTGAACAGTTCTCAGAGGCAGCTGCAAGTAAAGCACATGATCAGAGCATGGGTCACTGTGGCCTAGTCAGAAAAAGTTAACACTGCAGAGAACGGGGCTCTACTTCCTCTCTTGGATCGCTGCACAGAGATGCCTTGAAAGATGTGAACATCCCCCCTGCAGTCTGAAGTGGTACAGTCCTTTCCAGGGGTCATTTTGTAGAAAAAGAGGTGCAGGAGCTCATTAGCATAACTTATTAGCATAACTTGTTTGCATATGCCACACCCCCTGACATCACCGGAAGTGTGTCAGAAGGCAACACCCACCACTCAGGCTCCACTGGACTGTTTTGGATTGCTAGCTATTGGGGGGTGGGTAGAATGTGAAGATCTGCCCTCACAGAGGAGGGAGAGCTTGTACTTGAATAAAACTTGGTCTTAAAGGTGCCTCTGGACTGTTTTGGATTGCTACCTATGGGGGGGCGGAACACACAGATCTGCCCTCACAGAGGAGGGAGAGCTTGT